TGTTCGTGTAAATGGACGTGCTCACTTACTCCTGTGTGCCTGTGTGTTCGTGTAAATGGACGTGCTCACTTACTCCTGTGTGCCTGTGTGTTCGTGTAAATGGACGTGCTCACTTACTTCAGTAGTGCTGGTTCCACATAAATGACCAAAAATGAACAAATGCAAAACAAAAAATAAAAAAACTGATAAGTGCTAATAAAGAAAGACAGAAAATGTTTGTGAGCCTTGAGGAAAAGCATGAATGTAATAGGTCCTCATATAAAAACCCTACTGCTGTGGACTGTAGGTGAGAGGTCCTGTTCTCCTTTCTTTATAAGAACAGACAACACGTTGTTTCCTGCACTATTAGGACTGGTTATGATATACACACACTCCTAATTCCTACTGTCACCTATGCCTACTCACTCATAAAACTCCCCCTTCTCTCACCCTCCTGCTCCCTAAACCCACTCATTTTTATTCATTTACGCAAAAACAACATAAATTTCATAACTTCATTACACAGGCGTAATGTAATACACCCATGCCATTTGTCTGGTATCAGATCTTTTGTATCACATACTGTAAGTGTAACACAACCTACAAAGACTTGGTACAGCTTACTCTCTCTTTCCACATGGCAACTGGGTTTTTACAAAGACATGCTGCAGGGAAACTGGTTTGTGAAGCTTGATGGCTGTCCAAACTGGTTTAAGAAGGAATCAATGACTTGTGATAGTTCCACTATGTTGCGTGAGTGAGCTAGCTAACACCCGCACAGGTATTCTCTAAAGTTAGAGAACAAGTGTTGATTGATAATGCCGAGGTCTTTCCTATATCATTAAATGCCACACACAGAGAAACAGATGTCAGTCACCCAGCCCACTGCAACACAATGTTGACATCAGCCTACCTAGTCAACATGATGCACAGTACCCTCAGCATCACCAACTTCTCTGTGTGGGTGGCTTTGCCCTTGTGGTTGTGTTTCGAAGGTATCTGCCCCCTCAGGGTGCAACATACTTTAAATATTCTCTAATTACTTATGCCCTGTACATCCCACATTCTCACTGGGGGGTAAGCCCCCCCCCCCCCCCCCCTCCTAGTCAATCCAGAAGGAGCCTCTGATCCATTTACATCAAACCCTCTAAATCATTCTAATAAAAAGGTGCTCCCTCTATGGCAGGTGAAACATACTGATTAATGCGGCTGCATTTTGAAATGGTACTTATTTCCAGCATAAATATGATTGTGGGCTGGTTTGGTAATAAGCTGCAGATTGCTCAGTGTGAGTCTGGAAACTTTGTGTTTTCTCCCTGTGCCTGTTACCATCTCGTCAGCTTCCCATGCGGTGACTGCTGGCCAGACTCAGCCTGCTACCGTTTAATTGTGTCTCTGCTGCTCTCTTATTCACACTGTCCACTCACAGAGGGCAGGTTTCTCCACGTAATGTCGATACACACGGATGAAGCATCACAATGGGGTGACCGGTAATGAGGTCAGACACAAGCATGAAGTAGAGGGAAATCTAACTGCCCGGCATGCATTAAGCATGGCAGCATATGAGTCAGCCACCTGTATTCCTGTCAGTGCCTCTGCCCTCGAGCAGACAGAGATAGGGACCACCGCAGCTCAGCTTTCACAGCCGCTCCGGATCAATCAAACACAGCCAGACAGCAGCCGACGGCCCTTACCTTTCATCTGCTTGGTGATGGTCTTGTTGGGCTCTAGCCAGTGCTGCAAGGAGAGAAGGACAGGGCAGTTCATGAACTTATCAGCACATGGGCCAAGCTGAGGACTGGGGATAGCCCAACAGGTACAGGAACTGCAGGCTTTCCCTGATTTTTTGGATTCTTAGGTAGAATTGTGATGCCTTCCCGGGCTCCACACAGCAGCTTCTGAATCAGGTGCTGATCAACACAGAGCAGTTTGAATGCAGACACTTTCTGGTGTCTTACTACCAGCTTCACACTCCACAGCTTCAGACAAACATCCTCACAGGATCTCGCGGAAGCAAACGCAGCTCCACCAGACCTACATCTTCTAGAACATTCCTCCCACCCATGCCCTCACAGATGTATAAGGCAGGTATAAAAGCAATACTACGTTAATAGCTTCTTGGTAGTCGTTGGTTTGGTTCTCCGACCAAAGAACTGCTTTCTGTCTGTACTCTGGAGTCGCTTCCACAAAGGCAGGTTGGTAAAGTCAAAAGAAGATCAAACACTGAGAAAGATATTATGAGCAAATGAAAAGATATAATAAAAAAAATAAAATTCCCATGAAAGCTAATTAAGATGTAAATGAACCACTGTATTACAAAAAATGTTCACATTGAAGTTTAAGCGCATAATGATAAATTGCAGTGAAAAGGAACGCTTTGATTATCAGGCGAATTACATTTTGAGGTCATTCTAACCCTTTCACCACCTTTGTCACTGACATTGATAATTTAAATATCTGTGTTTTTTTTTCCTTTTACAACTACCAGCCCCAGTGAGACAGCTAAGCGTTGTACCCAGATTGTACCCTAGTCCTTCACACCTACTAATCTTTGCTCTTTGAAGTTAGCTGCTTGAATAAAATACAGCCTCTTCCCAGGTTACGATAGGGTTACATTCCAATAAGACTATCATAAGGCGAAAATTTCGTAAGGGGAAGATGCATTTCGATACAGTACACCTAACCTAACATACATCACATCCCATCCTAGCCTAGCTTAAATATGCTTAGAACACTTACATTAGCCTACAGTTAAAATAATTAACGCAAAGCCTATTTTATAATTAAATGTTGAATATCTCGTGTAATTTATTGAATAATATACTGAAAGTGAAAAACATTTACCGATCGTAAAGTCGAAATATTGTAACACAGACCATCATAACCTGGGGAGCATCTGTACTACACTGTTAAACTGTGAGATGAATGCACACAGTGCTTTGAGTCAAACCCCAGTGCTCAGGAATAAAGTACTGTTACAAACATTGTGTTATAAACATTAGAGTAGGCAGTCATGTGACATTCCGTGCATTGTGTACTACTACCTTCAGGATCCTCATATCAAAGCACTGTTATCTGCATGACAAGAGACTAGTCATCAAACACTCAAGCTTGGATAACTTTCATCCACAATATTAGGTATTGCTATTGCTATGGAAACCTGGCAAAAAAACTAAACTGCCACCATGAAGTTTCCATGGTGGATCAAGAGGTAGGATCACTGGAGAATGACATCTGGATGCATATGTGCAAGAGCAGTGCATCTGGATATTGGTACAACTGGTACAACTGGACATAGTCTTGTGACCAGTACGTGAGTAAGTATGATTAAGGCGAACGGTGTGACCATACAAGAGCCAGACAGACGGGTGGGATCACTCATGAACCAAAGATGATACCTTAACTCTCTCTAATCCTCACAATGAGAGGGAATTCAGACAACGAAACTGACTGCAGTTATTCATCATGATGGAAGGGACGGAAATGGCGAGGGGGTCGTGGCTCTGGAGGTACATGGGAGGGGTGGGCTGTGACCAGAATCTCAACGTAGGAGTAAAGCCATTCGCCATTGCCTGCCCTGTATCGATGAGGATGTTTGTGTTATACACCTAGCCTGTGATAGCTTGTCCATGTGAATCTGAGTGTGGGTGGGAAATAACGGCATAAATAAATTTGGGGGAGACTATGTGTGCGTGAGCGTCTGTCTGAACAGAGAGAAGAATCAATGGCTGCCAGTGTAGGGCACACCGTATCAAACATCACTGTTCAGTAAAGGGAATCCTCTGACGGGAATAAAGACTGTTTTTTGCATCTCAGGAAAAGTCCTGTGGCAGAGACGGACCGGGATATCAGCTCAGCACACGCAGACGCACACGATCACCCCAGACAGCAAGCCCAGCAGATGCCGGCTCCGCTGACACAATGGCATCATCCTGTTACCGCTACGCGTCAGCCCATTGCTGTTGGGAGTGCACCTCGTACTGGGTGGCGACACTCATGGCATGGTGGGTGTGATGGGTGTTTCCATGCCAACAGATGAAATTTTTGCAAACTTTCTACTCACCCTCTGCTTTTGTAGGTCCACATAGCGGATGCCAAAATAATCCTTCTCCAGTAGGCTGTAGTGGTTGCAGACGTGATCCAAAAGGAACTGGCCCTTGGTGTCTCTCTGTTGGTAGACAAACACAAGCCCCGTGACCCATCAGTGGCTGCCTCTGGTATGGGCAGACATACCCTCAAATACCCTCCTTTTCCTGCCCCCAAACACATTTCACTCTGGCACGCCGGGAGTCTCAGGCAAACCCGTCCACAACACTCTCATGGTGAATGGGAATCACCCATACAGTCTACTGGAGTATCTGGGGGGTGTGGCCTTGATTAGAAGGTCATAGGTTCAAATCCCCAGGGTCAGATGACTGATGCCGCTGTAGGGCCCTTGAGCAGGACCCATTACCGCCCAAACGGCCCCAGGGCGCTGCATGAGGGCCCATCCTGCCCTCAGATGCCAAGCTGGGCTTGTACGTCTTTGTATGTCTCAAGGAAAGCATGACAGGATATTTGAAAAGAAACCGTATAATGTACCTCCACTGGCGCAAAGGGTTAATGAGGCTTCACAATATATATTACAATATACAAAAAAAAAAAGTTTACTTTTATTTTTAAAGACCCAACAAAATAGTTTGAGCACATCACAAAACTGGCTTAACTATTAATACTGAAGTTAATTGCATGTTACATTTCCATAATTTACATAGCTGTTACTATTAACAACTTACACTTGGTATATGCTGTACAAATGAACGCGCACTTGGGGATTCAAATAAATTTATCATAGCATTTTGAAAGCTTTTCCCTTAATGTAAAACATTTATTTATAATTAATTACGCATTTAGAGGGAGAAAGGAGTAGATGTGAGGAAGGGCAGATGTGGACCAATCTGATGCTTGCCTAAGCAGCAAAGAGGCACGAGTGAGTGGAGTGTGTGACAGGTCAGCATCTCGGAGGACACACCGCCCGAGCAAAAGCTGAGACGTCAACACTGACCATCAGCACAGCGAGTCACTCAGAGAGACGGGAGTCAATGACTCGGAAAGACGAGCCTCATTAAAATTGCATTGGGGAACACCATAGCAATCTGCATGCTTAAATACCAAATAAAGACTGACCCTACTTTTACCTCATTAGAATAATAATAATAGGTTAGACTTATATGCCACCTTTCACAATCCCAAGGTCCCTTTATAGTTGAAGAGAAACATCTTTAGTTCAGATTTGAAGGAAGAGAAGGATGAGCAGAGTCGCGGAGAGATTGTAGGAGAGAGTTCCATAGTTTGGGGGCCACGGCACTGAAGGACCTGCCGCCCACGGTGGAAAGTCTGGTCCGTGGAACAGCGAGGAGATTATTATTAGAGCATGTAAAATTCAAGAATACCCATCCGTCCTCTTATGGTTTGTCCTAGAGCCCATCCCAGGGCATATAGGGCTGGGCTACAAGCTGGACCGGATGTCAGGCCATAATAATCACAGACAGAGCCAGCCACACTCTATGGGCAATATAGAGATACCGCTTAACCTAAGTGCATTTCTTTGGACTGCAGGAGCAAACCCACGCAAGACAGTGTCACGACCTGTCCGGTCCATCGCCCTGTATGACCAACAGGGGTCACTGCTGGTCCTCTGGAACCCGGCTGTTGCCTCCCAGCTGTGTCCTGTTCATGATCCCCAATCCTAAACGTCAAACACCTGCACCATGGCAGTCCCTTGTTAGTCTTCTGTATACATGCTTCCCAGTTTGGTGTTCCCTACTTCAGCCATTGTTCCCTGTTGTTCGCTCTGACTTCACACACCTCTGGACATCACACACAGGGTATGGATGTTTATTTTCAAGCAAACTGCTAGTCATGTGTTCAGTGCATTTCATAGACACTTTAGCAAAAGCAGTTGTAACATCTTCTCACTGAAAAAACACTGGCCTGAGCTGAAAGCTGATTGGCCCCCAGAGTGCCCCTCCCCTGACACTCACCGATTCAAATCATATCATTGGCTAATAATAAGATTACCCCCTCAATATCAGATATGGCCACCAACTTAAAAAACCCTAGAATCGCCTCTGGCTTTGATCCTCCAAGGAACCCACTAAACCACGATGCTGCGCCTCGCACTCACCAGTACTTTCACATTTAAGTTAACCTGCAGTGTGGCACAATGATATGAGTGAGTCACTATATCTCTGACTGTACAATCACATAGAAGCAGTTAAGTAAGAAATTTATTCATGACAGGCAGGTAAAATCACAAATTACAGGCACAGTAACACTCAAGTGATTCTGCATCCCAGAATGCTTTGTTCTTCCTCGCTTAGTGTAGTCCATCTTTGTTACTGTGATTTAAACAGTGTTCGTGAATGTCCTAAAGGCTCTTTGTCTTACCGCTGTCTCGAAACAAGTGTCTCCGTCCTTGCTGACGTGACAATAAACTGGCACTAATGGAAGGACGTTATCACACAGCCTGAACACAGAGTGTCACCATTAATCTCATTTTATCGATCAGCACATTCCAGTGGGCAATAAATGGACTTATCCTAAAGGCTGGGGCTCTCCTCAATTTCCTGGACTGCAGTGCTCAGCAGCAAAAGTCTGCAGACGGCATCCTCACCGTTTGCCCTCGGTGTGGACAGCACCATGGCAACAAGAGCAACACACGTGATGGGAGATGTGGGTCAGTAGGGGTAGAGAATGGAGCGTTTCAATTTGCTATTCAGACTTTTCACTTATAATTCAGTTCAATGCAATTTATTTTTACATAGCACCTGTCACAACATGGTCACCCCCATTCACACAATCAGACAGTGGCACTGACTCAGAGCATGTTAGGTTAACAATAGTCTAAACAAGCAATGAATGAAAGCCAGATGACAACAGAGGATATTGTGTAGCCCCTAGTGTAGTGTGATACGATGTGTACAAAAATATATACAGGACGGGTGGCATCTCTGTATGAGGTCATCCTGAAGGTAACATGACCGCGTGGCATCTCTGTATGAGGTCATCCTGAAGGTAACATGACCGCGTGGCATCTCTGTATGAGGTCATCCTGAAGGTAACATGACCGGGTGGCATCTCTGTATGAGGTCATCCTGAAGGTAACATGACCGTGTGGCATCTCTGTATGAGGTCATCCTGAAGGTAACATGACCGCGCTCCATCCAGTCACACAGCAGACCTCTCTCTGCCTGAACCCGCAACCTGATGCCAGTCAGAACCCAAAGCTGGGAACTCCACAGCAATGGCCCCCTTTCCTGTTTCTAAGAGTCACCAATCAGCATCCCTCCTCTTTCGTGTGCCCATTCTAACAGTCCTGACCATAGATATAATTGCTGTCATCCAGCAAAATCCCATGGAATCCTTAGCCAAGCTGAATATCGCATGTACTGCTCTCTAATAGTTAAATTCATACCTCTCAGACGGTCCTACAGGAGACTTTCTGTACAGCTACACAGTCTACTGTATATCAGTTGACTTTGCTATGTCCCCTATTAGTACCATTGTTATGCAGACGGAATGCAACTCTCCATCTCTGTAATTGTCTCTGGACGCATTTATCTTGTCTCCCATTAATTCCTGAATTTCCAATATCTCCTACTGGATGACATTACACTCAACAGATCCGCAAATAAGAATTGAGACAAAAAACAAATTGTTGTCATCATCCCTTGTCAAAAATTCACACTCAGCCACCCACATCAGCAAATTCCTCTTATGAAAGTATCCATTATGTATTTAAATCCTTGGCATCAGCATACAAAGGGAATCACACCATTTCATGTTGAGAATGTTCAGCACCCCATCCAAGTCACTATTATCACACTTTGTGTCAACCTCGGCCCCGAAGAACTCGCCCTGTCATTTCAGATGACACCTCACTCTGAAAACATTGTGAGCTCAGTCTTTCCTAGTCACATGTCAGCATTTTTTTCTTTTATGTTTTAGTTTGTCTAAAGATGCCCTTCAAACACGTCACACGGCGTAATACGCAACAGAGCTACTGTCTGTCTGTCTGTCTGTCGGTGATATTGAGGTTTATTGTTTCCTCACTTCATGCAATGACTTTGTCACAACAGTGTCATTATTAATTAAATGAAAATGTGCCTGTCAGTTATGTATTTTTCTTTTTTCTTCAGAAATAAAAAAAAAGAAAAAATCAGTGCTGCAGCCCCCTCCTCTAGAGTTGGGGGTTCAAATGCTGCCCTCCCTGTAGAGTTTATACATTGTCCCTAGCTTTCCTCAAATGTTCCCCACAATGTCATAAAAACCTGTTATTTAGACATTGTGTGGATCATTTTCAGGTCCCCACAAAGATCTGTGAATTCAATCAAAAAACTAAACATGTTTGGTTACTCATGGTTAAGGTTAGGGCTGCGTAGCGGTTAAGATCATCATGTTGGGATTAGAGTTTTCCCCAAAGAAATGAATGGAGAGTCCCCACAAAGATATAATTACCAACCTGTGTGTGTGTGTGTGTGTGTGCACCATGTGATGGACTTGCGTCACACACACGATATCCCCGGCCTTGTATTCTGTGCTTCCCGGGATCGCCCTCCCATCACCCTGTATTGGATAAGTGGTTGGATGATGGACGGATGAAAATGAAATAACCGTGTTGAAAGAGAAAACCAAATCATGAGACTAAAGGCCACCAACTGAGTTAAGCGTTTCAGACAGCTGACAGGCACTTCTCCAGATGCCAGGCTGACATGCCCCCCCCAAAGTGGACCACACTCACCCACCCACCACTGACAGCACCTTCTCCTACTGCTGCTGATTCCAGTCTAACTGTTACAGCATTAGGACTGACAAAGCAGGCTTGGCTACACTCAGATCTGATGCTATTCAGTACCAGCCTGAGAGCCTGCGTGGATGGCTGCACCCACACTTGTTTGCACCCTACAATTTTGGGTCCCCCTTGTCAACCACTATGTCAGCTAGGGGTGCAGAAGGAGCGGTAATAAATGATGCCGTGACAGAGAACAAAGAGCAGAAGATTACAGTCTGCTATCACAGCTGCATTATCCATGTAGTACTGAATTAGCAACATATCTCTATTCTCTTCTTGAAATGAATTTGATATTTCAACCTGAAGATGATGGGGAAAGTAGTATCTTGATTCAT